GGGCTGGGAAGGCTCCTGTGTCACGTGGTGAGGAGAATCCAGCGAAGGGGACTGGGAAAAGCTTCATCGCCAAAGAGGAGAACCCAGGACGGGTGTCCATAAAGCCCACGGGGAGGTTTCTCTGCAAGGAAGAGCCCTGAGCCGGCCGAGTGCAGCTGGGAAGCGCGGACCAGACGTCCTCCCGCCTGCCGCCGGGCGCCCCAGCAGCCCCAGGCAGCCTGTGTCCCCTGTGCGTGGTTCCGCGTGAAAATGCCTGGCCTGTGAAGCTCCAGGCTCCTGGCGTCTGCCACGTTTCAGCCTGCACCCCCCCCCAGACCAGTGAGTCAAGGAGGGGTGGGAAAGCGCCCCCAAGCTGTAGGGCGCTGAGGCGCCCAGTAAGGTGCAGCAGCTCCTCCTGAGGCCAGCTCTGGCCAGTCCAGATCAGTTTTGATTTCAAAGTGGGCAGGAAGAGTTTGGAAAAGCCAAAGCCACCCTTAGCCTTTCTGGCTTCGGCTCTGCGGTCACCGCGCCGCCACAGAGGTGACCCGTGCTGGGAGACACGTTCCTGCAAGGTTCGGGGTTCCGGAAGTTAGGTGCTGGGTCTCCTGAGAGCAGACCCAAGGGGAGCTAGCTCACGGCTCTGGGCTCCCGACACTGCAGTGTGGGAGAGTCTCGCGTCCGCCTTCACCTGATCGCCAGGTGCCTGCCTGTGCGCCATCCGCAGAGGCGACGGGTAGCCATGGCGTCGCCGCCTGCCAGGTCCTCAGACTGCCCTTTGGTGGTTTGTTATAGGGCTAACAAGGACGCTGATTCCCGCCAACCCGCTCTGTGTGGTCTGCACGTTCCCTCGTGTGCTGCGAGCTGTGCTGGGAACCCCAACCCTCCGGTCCCAGAGGTGTGCTTCCAGCCGCGTCAGTGTGGAGCGCCTGGCGTGAGGGGGCCTCCTGGCCGGGCGGAGCCAACCTCGCACCCTGAGCTGGCCCCCCCTTCTGCCACCCCGTGCCCTGAGCTAGGATGAGAGGGCTGGGGTGAGCTGGTGAGGAGATGCAGATGGCGGCCCTGGCCGAGTGCGGCCTGTGCTAGCGAGCCCGGGGCTGTTTGAGTCAGAAAATGCGCTAGCAACCTCTCGGTCCACTGGCCTCCGGTCAAGCTGGTGTTGCACGCCATCTCCACTGGAGATGGACACTGGACTTGCCGGGCCCGGCGGGCAGGCACGCAGGGCACAGGTGCAGCCGGAGGGCAAGGCGGTGCTCACCTCCGTGGGGGCTGCCAGTCCCAGGAGACAGGCGCAGCCCCTGTCTGGGGGGGCTGCTGGGAGGGTCACGCGCAGTGGGGCCAGGTCTGCAGAGGAGGAGGGAGAGCGCAGGGCCTGCGGGGGGCGGGCTGCCTGGCAGCGGGAGCCCTGGTCAGGCAGAGGAGCCAAGGGCCAGGGGAGGCCCTGAAGACCCGCCCTGGCCGGGCCGGGCCGGGCTCGAGGGTGCGCCAGCGGCTGGCACTTTCCCTCCTCCCTCTGGCAGAACCCGCTGTGCCAGGCCTTTGTTTCGCACAAGCGGCAGGCCAGGTTGCGGACGTACTTTCCTTTTTACGTTTCATTTCTCTGCTTGTACCCCAGGTGTAGTAGGCACAGTGTTCCC